TCAGGTAAGGTTTTGTTTATATTATGTAGATGAACATGTGGCTGATGTTAATTTTTTTATTTAATCAGCTCTGTTTTAGTACAATCAAGTTTATTTTTATTTACCCATGTTTTGTTTTTGTTTTTACTGTTTTTGCATAGCAGATTATTTTTCCACATTCCTGATTAAGGTTGTTTTTGGTTTTTTTGGAACCAATAATATTTAACCAGACAATCCTTTTACATTAAATAAATGACATTAAATAACATAAAACCACACAGGACAATGGTAACGGCGTTATCAGAGCTGGGTTTAGTTTATAGGCGTGTGATTGATCGGATGATTGCAGCGATCGATGCTGCTGGTATCCAATCCATTGGCGCTTACGGCCCCATGGAGGCTTGGGTCGGTTCCGGCTCCATCAATTCCAGCAGGTCGTTTAGCTCTGAAGCATTAAAACTGGCCCAGGGGTCTCATTGGTCAAAGATTGCTTGCAACCAATAATAAACCCCCAAAAGCTAAAAATGGTGCATGCCAGTAAAATATTCAGATTTGAAAAACAAGCAAAAATCCCAGCTTTACCTCAAAGTTTGCGTTGAAGGCTTCCTGTCAAGTCAAAACCTCTGGACTCTGTTAACCACAAATGGTCCATGATGAGTCAGATGATTTATCCGCTGGCCGCCACGGGAGAAAAAACTAAACGGTTTAACTGAAGCATGTTGGTCAGTGAGGAGGAGAGTCGGATAAACTGGGTTGGTCGCCACAGTAGCCTGGATGGGAGACAATAATCTGAGGATCAGAATAAGATGAACATCCGGTGCTGCGATATCTCAGATTTATGGCAAATTCACCAAATCATTTCGTTCCAATAAGTTGCCAACAGGGAATTAATTATTTGTTGATTATTTTTAACCACTGGGAAAGAGAAAGAAACCTGCCATTTCTCAGGAACCCCAGAGTTTAAAAGCTGAAATCAATTAATAATAATTAATAAACTCAATTAATAAAAGCAAAAAGCCAAAAATCTGGATTAGCTGCCCACTAATCTATCAGATTTGGATTATTATAGTTAAATCTTTGATCTTCAATAAACTGCCGCATGAAATCATGTCCATTTTTTTCACATGTATGAACTATTAATCTCGAACTATAATACAGTTAGGGTTATATTTGGACACGTCATCAGTGATTAACCCGGCGTCACGGGGTGTTACAGGTCTTTAATAATCAGACACCCTCACTCGGGTGACCCAGCTGAGAGTGATCACTCCTTAGCTTGTGTCCAAGTAGCGCACCACGGTTCCCCCTACAGTTCCGCAGCCACCGTGTAGCCTTTTCTGCTAGCCTCGTGAGACCATCCTGATCTCGCGAGCTTTCAAGGTTTCACTCGCAGATCAGTATGGAGACTCTCCGTTGAAGAAAATTTGGAGCCGTTCACCAAACGAACGTCCAATCAGCGTTGGCTTTGAGGCGGGTTGAGGTGTGACGCAACGAGAAGCGCGACAGTTCAGTCTAAAGAACATGGCGGCTTCAGCCGATGAAACTAGCGTTAGCGTGGCTATCGAGCAAGTTTTATGGGAATTACAGAGTATTTCTTCACTGAAAGAAGAGCAAAACACTGCTCTGGAGGCTTTTCTCAGACGAAAAGATGTTTTTGCTCTTCTCCCGACTGGTTTCGGCAAGAGTAGCCTGGCTTGTGGTTGTGTTTTCGTTGTCGCTCTGTTAGTACGTCATATGCTTCGTTGATCTGATTGGTTTATTTGGCCCGTCTATCACCAACATAGGCCAATCAGCTAACCAGTATTTTCGCCCCTTCCCAAAATTACTTCAACGGAAGGTTTCCAGATGGATATGCGGAACAAATCCAGCAAATCCATCTGGCGGAGTCAGGTTACTTTTCTGCAGCCTAAAAAATTTTCTTGGTGGCTTCCTAAACTGCGGTCCTCTAACACCAAGGACTTTGGACAATCTCTGGACGGAAACCTCTGCACCCGATTTTGACAGGTTTGCAGCGGGTCTTCCAGCCATTGCGCGGTACTCTGAGTATTTACCTCTCTTGTGCTCGTTAGCCACTCATCCGGTCCTTCTATGTGACGATCCGTTCCAGTAAGACCACTTGCTTGGTGTTCTCCGATGTTAACGCCATATCTGGGCGGAATTGCGAACTTGAGTTGCCGTCCTAGAGCTGCCAGCCAGGAGCCCCCCTGAGGAATTAGGGTGGTGGTTTTACAAATGTGATCGACTGCTTCAGAGTAACATGGGTCTTCCTGTTCTGTGCTGACTGAATCCGCTGAGAATTTTAGAACTTGATCGTAACGCCAGCGATACCGCCCCCCTCCTAAGGCCTTTGGGCGGAGGCTCAGAATGGTGTCCCTTCTCTGGCACAGTTTAAACTCAGGACTATCTGCCAGGCCCCAGGTGAGAAGGTTGGCCAGACTTTGGAGGACATCATAGATAGTTTGAGGAACTTCGGAAAGCTCCCCAGACCTGCCCTCCCCCCTGCCACGACTCCAACCAGTTTCATGCCTCAGCCTTGCCTCCGCTCTACGGACAGCTTCTTGTTTCTGCCACTTCCTCCTGGTCTTGATGATTCCTGCCGACGCTATCTTAGCGTCCGCCGAGTCCCTGTTCATCCCCACCTCTGTTGAGCGCGTGACTTTGAACTCCTCCATTAGTCCACTAAAAGGGAGGTGCAGATTGGTGGAATGGCCAAACAGGGCGATGCTGCTTAAGGGCCGAGGAAGCCAAAGCCATCGATCATTTTTAATCATTTATCAAATCTCATACTTACCAGGTAGGGCTGGTTTCCATATTTAACCGTGGTTCCTTAGAACCGTTGACCCAGATAACCTGGTTGCTTACATAGTTGTGCTCATTAGGATGCTGTGGCTCCGTCAGGTCGGACCTGCAGTATTAAGACTCGATTCACCACATAGATCCAGTAGCAATGCTTCATGAGGTCTGAACCGATGAGTCATCATCATAGGCCAGGTAACGTTGGTGATCCATGAAAACAAGTTACCTGCCAATTCTCTCATTTTTAACATCCTGCAGCGGAGCCAAAGCATCCATCCTGCAGCAAACAAAACTTCAGTTTACGTGTCGCTATGGTTCCCATGAGGAGGAATTACACAGCGACATCGGACGTTGATCTATGATCAATATATATCAAGTAAAATTGACTTAACCTTCCCGTCTGCGTCGCCGTTTTTCCACTTTCCTCTAAAATGTACGTTGGTCATTTGGTGTAACGGGCGGCACGTTTCCACGCCTAGTTTCTTTATTACCTTTGGAAAGGAATGTTTGCAAGTTTCAGGTTTAGTTCTGTGTCGACACACAATTTATAAACCAGCCATGATTATCACACTGCCACCAGCAAGTTTGGCTCTAGATGAGATTTTCTATGCAACTTGTCTCATCAGTTTGCAGAATCTGCCATAGATCATTAAAATGTTTAATATAAATGTGTTTTTTGGGGGTTATGTGGAGTTTTTTGGGTCAGCAGTGGTTTTGATCTTGGGACTTTGGGCATGGAAGCCATTTTTGTCCAGTTTTATAGTGGAATCATTTTCATTTCTCCCATATTCAGTTGCAGCCTTCATGTCCCCTGGCAGCTTTCCTCTGGCATCAAAGTGGAGCGGTTGCATAAATATGAACTAGTGTTTGTATGACCTTCAACATTTTGGATTATTTGTATATGTGTGTGTGTGTGTGTGTGTGTATGGGGGGGGGGTGCATTGGAGCAGCAGGAACCTTGCTGAAGGCAGCAAAGGTGCAGATAGCCTCGGCTTCAGGTGACTGCAGAGAGATCAGCAGTGAAACGAGCAGCAATCTCCAGATACCAAACAGCAACACTGCAATCACACTAACAGGAGAGGAGCAAACCCACCGCAAACACTAAGGATGCTAACATACATTGAATGCAAAGGGGAAATGTATGGAGTCAGAAACGGGTCAAAATGTTTGTTAACTTATAAATCTTAGTTGAAACAGAAAAATTTGGAGTTGATATTTAATTTCACATTTTTCCTTATAATGTAGTAACTAAAAATAATCAAATGTTTTGTATCTGATAGTTGAAGTGAACACCCCCCCCCCCGTAGAAAGTATTAACAGGTCAGAGCTTCTATGCTTCTTTTTCTATGTCTGCTTCTGTCTCCTTGAACCCCAGTGGGCCTCAGCAGATGGCCGCTCACACTGAGCCTGGTTCTGCTGGAGGTTTATTCCTGTTCAAAGGGAGTGTTTCCTCTCCACTGTCGCTACAAGCATGCTTAGTGTGAGGGATTGCTGAAGAGTCATTCAGGTGGAGAGAATCCTGCAAAGTCAGTGACTGCATTATCTGATTGATCTGGATCTATAAAGTGACCTGCGATGACATGATGTGATTTGGAACTAAATAAATAAAGTTAATCGAATTAGTTTTTCTGTTTGGATGAAACAATTAATCAGAATAATCAAGTATAGAAATAATTGTCAACTAATTTAGAAATCGATTGTTTACTGGAGTATAGAGGCTGTAAAACGTGCCTTTAGCTGAAGAGCGACTCACTTAGAGCAGGAATTATACCAAGACTAAAAAATATAAATATTCAGCATTTATTTAACTTTTGGCATTCTGATTATTATTTGATTAATCGAAAAAATAATCAACAGATTAATTTATTTGCAAAATAATCATTACCTGCAGCCCTAGTGCTTTTTTTCCTTTGCATGTCTTTCCTGTGTTGAAGTAATTTCTGCTTGCAGCAGGTTTTTAATCTGAATTCTGTCTATTTTCTGTGATTACGGCGTTTCTCCATCAGTGTGAGATCAGCGGTAAAATGTATTTACACCCCTCTGATCTAAAGGAAGTCTTTAAGGGGATCCTTCAGGTGACATGTTGGTGAATTTGCGCTATAGAAATAAACTGAAACTAAAATAAATTTCTATTTGGGATTTAAAGAAGGAGCTGAGACCAAAAGTCTGAAATCTTTTAGTTTGTTCTAAAAAACCTCCAGAGAGAATAAATGTGAGATCCCAGCTGTCATTCATTCCTTTATTTCTGCAGAGATTTCAAGTATAAAAACAGATTCCACACAAGTTCATCCTCATAAAACCCCGTCTTGTTCACATAGAGGAGAGAGACGCCTTCATCCAGGTGGGAATGACCCCCCCCCTCCCGCCGGGTTAACGAGACCAAACCTCAATCTAATTATTATTGACCTTCAGCACAAACAGATTAGAGGAGGTCAGGATGAACAGCCTCTCGTTGGACGCTCTGAAGCCCAGGATTGGCTTGTCCGAGTCCAGGCTTGCCACCTGTTGCTTAGCAACCTCTCCCACCTGACGGCCCTGCTTCCTGTTGAAGAGGACGGTCTCCACGGGCGACGGCTGGCGGTAGATGAAGGCGCGGCGGAGACACTCGCCGAGCGCGGCGTAGGAGAAATCTGGAGCGCAGGTGGCAAACTTTTTATCCTGCTTGGAGGCCTGGACGTAACCTGAGGACAGAGACACGTTCAGCCTGAGCGGCGACGGCGGCGTCTCATCAGCGACGCCTTGATTAGCAATCACTGATGGATCATCAGGAAAACAGAGATTATTAAAACAAAGCGTTCAGAGCAGCAGATTGCGTCCAGCGGCTCCTCTCTTCATTTATTCTGCAATCAGACGGGAAATTTATAAAGTTTAATGAAGTTTGGAGTAAGAGACGCTTCTGGGTGCTGAGAAACAGTGAGGCTAAATGTCAGAACAAAGAGATCCTTCTTTACTTCTTCATGCGGCTCTAAATGATCTGAGAAAGTCCAGTTGGTTCCTGAGCTCCTGTTCCTGCTGGGACACCAGGAAAAAAAAATCCAAAGAAATCAGCTGAGATACCAGGAGGAGAACGTCATAGCGTCACGCCCCGGCGCCGTTTATACGGGACAGAGACCCCGATGGTTAAAGACATATCCTCTGGTCTAAAACTGGACTCTAACGTCACTAAATCTGCCGCAGAAGAGCAAAGCTGCGAGTTCAGGACATCATTGCAACTGTAAAGCAGGGGGGTGACGGCATCATGCTGCGGACATTTAGCAGCTACAGTCAGAATGTTTGAACTGAGACGCTTAAAGTCGTAGGAAAGTCATGTTTAAATGTCAAATCATTCTGGCTTAAACATGTATACAAATGTTCTATTTATCAGATGATATTGTTCCAAAAGTTAGACGTTCAAAAAATAAATCCTGTCTTAAAATCTGTGTTTTTTTCCGTTATCTTCTGCAGGCCAGTTAGTTCTACGTCAGCCTGAACACCTAAATTCGTCCAAT